ATTTAACTACAGTTAATACTCTAATCTACAGCTAGCATAAGATTCTGTACAAAGATATCGTCATTCAGTCACAAAGTGATGGATTATATTTCGACTGATCACATTATATGAAAAAAAATTATACGCTCATCTGACGTAGGTATATCACTTTACAAAGTCGACGGTTTCCTTTCTTCAAAAGATTATGCGAACTATAAAGTAGATGAGTCTCCCACCAGGAGTCAATGTCTAAACAAAATATACTTTATTAGATGTTCGCACGGCTACCACCACTCAACCCACCACTGGTAACATAGCTGAGGCTCATGAAGCTTCATGACACAACTCCTAGAAGCATCCCACAAGTTATCGACTGAGAGAAAATAGGTAATAAAAATTTGTGCCTGGGAATATGAATATACATATTGTGGTGTGATATGGTGTTCCTGTGCCCGACGTACAGTTGCGCGCAATTTAAAGTTGGGAATTGTGACAAAAATATGAATAATTTGAATAAAAAAACCAAAGTAAAATGTTTGACTTCAGCTCCTTTCAACGCTCTTAGCTCAGTCCAGATCCAGACTGAGATTTCCATACATGAGCCCATAGACAATTTCGTTTGTAATGACATTCTAGACAATATTTTCCATAAATTATCGACTGCCGCCAGAAAAAAGAAAGGCACCAATTTTAGTCAATGCCCAAATGAGAACCGATGGCAAACCAAGGGCCCCTTGACAAAATTTGCTACAGGCCCCGTGCTTGCTTAATCCGGCACTGAAGAGACTGTACAACTAGGAGAAACCCAAAAGAGTATAATAATATATAGGGTAAGAAGCCTCGTTGGCCAAGTGGTAGCAAGTGCGAAGACGGCAAGGGGTCTCGGTTTCGATTCCCGGGTCGGACAAAGTATTACTGCATGGGTTTTAAAAAAATTCTCAGTAGTAGAACGAAGTCTGGAATTGATTGTGCCCGGGGTATGGCAATAGGCTCACCCCCTATTACATGGGACTTATAACATAAATAGTGAAAAGTGGGTGTTACATTGTACAGTGGCATAATGTGCACCTCTGCCTACACCTTCGGGGATAAAAGGCGTGATGTTATGTCATAGGTAAGAAGCCCGGTCGCAAAGCACCACGGAAATTTGACTAAAAACTAAGTGTGTGAGGTGTTATACTTGCTTCCAATAATATGTTTGCAAGACCGCTTACACGCACGGTTAATTATAGATTCCACAAGGTCCCTATACTCCCTATAATATAATAATAAACTACACCTGACGAAAAAATCTAACATAGTGTTTTTTTAAGGTGGGAGAATCATCAAATGACTTCTCCCGCCTGGATGAGGCGAGAGGGAGTGTCAGACTCTTAATGACTAAAAACCATCCCGTTCCGACTCCTACACTTCGAACCGGAGCCCCGGCAACCCATGAAGTCCTCCGCGGTTCCGTATAACATAACCGTGTTACGTTCATATTGCCAGAGACCACACTTCCAGAGTATGTGATAGGCAGACTGTTCATATTGCAACTCAAACATTGGCACTATGGTGAACCAGGAGGTATTAATGAGAACAACATGGTTTTAAAGTTGCCATGGCCAGTAAGAAATTGGGCAACACAGTGATCCACCTCCAACCATGTCCTCTCTAGCTGCTCAAGCTTATGCACGGATGGGAAGAACTGATAAAGGTGGCCCTTGGTAGAAGATTCCCATATACACTGCCTGCCATTCAGTTATAAGTTCACCCCAGACGTCAATAAACAATCTAGATATTTTGTTTGAATCACGTGGTAGAAAGCTTGCGGAACAATTAGGTAAAGCATTGTAGTACATAGCAGCACGTCGTTGCACCTTAACTGGAAATACTCAACAAGCATAGATAGTGCCTCAGTGCTAACCATCCTATAAGCCTTACACAAGAAAACCAAGGTTAGAGGCTGGCCTTGGAGAAGATTTCGCCGTACCGCGCCTAATTATGGCCCTACCAGCCTATAGACACACGTGTGCGCATGCAGTGCCGCGTAGCACACGCATCCCAGGTGGATCGTGGAACACACTGTAGCGGAATGCCCAGCGTGGGCAGAGCACCGCCGTGCCCTCAGGGAAGTTATCGGCGATGGCGACCTCTCGCGTCCGACCCTAGTGCGGGTCATGATGCGGAGCGAGGGGGACTGGAATGCCGTCTCCTCCTTTTGCGAAGTAGTCATGCTAGTCAGGCAGCGAAGCGCTACCTCCTCGCAACCCAGCCATCGCGAAGGACACTCCTGGCGTCGGGGATCGCGGGACAATATCCGGCCACCGTAATGGCGAGCATGGGTGGCTCACCGTCCGACCAGAACCAGACCCGAGCGTACGGCGCGTCGCTTTCCGTGCGCGCCTCAACGAGCCCAACAGGGCTGATTCCGATTCGGAGTCGCGGAGAACCTAACGGGTTACCGGAGCTCCGGCTCGAAGCGCAGTAGAAGGAACGGGATAGTTTTTAGCCAGTAAGAGTCCGACACTCCCTCCCGCCTCACCCAGGCGAGAGCAGTAATTCGATGATCCCCCCCCCCCCCTTAAACCAAACTGATTATTGTGGAATTTTGGTCCACCTTTTGGCAGTAAAGGAAGAACGATAAGTCGCTCAAGGACTTTCCCTAAAGATGTTAAAAGCGTGATAGGTCGATATGACTTAGTGCCATCGGGTGGTTTGTTTCCATTCTTAGAGATTACACGAATGAATCCAAGTCGCCATATACGAGCAAAGACGCCTTCCGCGATACAACGGTTCAATATAGTTAGGATCGCATCAGCCGCGGATTTACACGTTTCTGTTATCATTTTATTTAAGACTTTGTCTTTACCAGATGATTTATTCAAAGGCAAAGTTTTAACAATAGTTCCGTGCTCGTTGTTGGAAGGAAGATCAGACACTGGTGGTATAGAGGTAACCACGGACCCTCCCTATCTAATTTCTGTACTATCCTCCGTTGCAAATCACCTTTGGCTTTCTCTACCGAAGCCCTATAGACCTGGCAACTCTAAACGCAATCAGTGCTTCATTAAAAACGGTACCAGTTACCTTACGTTTCTATAGTCTATTTAAATGTTTGTACGCTTTACGAAAGTGTTTACGCTGTTCGACTAGTTATTCCACCAGTCGCAATATCGGCATAGTAAATAAAGGCGTCTGACATGATTTCCGCACTCTCCTCGGCGGAGAGATCTCCGCGACTGAAATCTTTGACTTGAGATGCAAACAATGAGCTAAAGAAGTTCCAATCCTCGCCCTTAGTCTTGCACTTAAGGCTATCATTGCAATATGATAATGGGTAATGTAATGTTGAATGTATTGTTGCTGGGTAATGTTGAAACAAATTCGTACACGATCAGGCGATGATCACTACACGACGCATCTGGTAGAACACGCCACCTATCCAAGCTAACGTCCGCACTAGAAAGTGTAACAAGATTCGCCCATTTGGCTGCAAGTAGGTAGTGCATTAGGGATGTTATGAATAGCGAGATTTATTTCAGCATTGAATTCTTCAACAGTAGAGTGCCGTTCTATGTCAGTAGCCCTAACTTTGCCATACCACAAGGAAGAAGGTTTCTTGAAACGTTTACACGCTACGCAAGTTGGAGTAAAATTGTGTTTTTTATAAGAGGGCAGTTTTCGCTTTCGTGTGCCTCGGCGCAATTACCGTAAGTAGGTGTCTTTGCAGCACAATGTTTTCTTACGTGCCCGAACGCGAACTGCTGACACAAATGGCACCTGACTAGCTCGATGTCATCGATAAAACGGCAGATAGCCCAATCGATAAACTTTAGTGAAAACTAGATGTTTACGTATACAGGGTTGGTCTCGTCTTTCTCCTCTTGAAAATCTTGCGATATCCCAAAATCTAGAGGTTCTAAACAAAAAGTAAAAAAAATACTGTCACCCCCTAGACCTGGGGTGGAAATAAGCTTGGGACTGAAAATGACCCCATTTATAAAATCACAAATGTATGTACCCTTCATATTGAGCCTTTTGCTTATACTCAGAGTAGAATTACAGACTGTGTAGTATGTGCTATTTACTGCGAACTTTGGATACACTTAAAATAGAACCTAATAATTATTTGACCAACCCAGGAATTGAACCGGGAATTGATCATCGACGCAGCGTGTGATATATGTTTGGGTGACGTACCCAAACATATTCCGTAGCTGAGAGTCCGAAGATTTGCTTGATCTGAAAAATGAACCTGAACCCCCTTTGTCTGGCAGTCGCTTTAGCGACCACACAACAAGTGAAGCAGGGAAACTGTGTTGAAGGAGGATTTATGGGTAGTAAAAATTGAATAAAAAACGGTTAAAGAATTATTATTTTTTTTATTAAAAAACTGATTCCAAAGCAAATGTTGATCATAATATTCACATGCAGTTAAAACGCTACATGTTTTAATTTTTTACAATCTTTTTGATTCACATAAATTACGTAGATTCATCATATTTTATTTTAAATTAATACTTTTATGTAAGATGTCCTAAGTACATAATCAGCTTTGATAATTTTATAATAAGAAAGTTGACAAAACAAATATTACAATTTGTTGATTTTTGACTATGGCAAAATATAATAATAACAACAACATTTTGATTGAATAGATAATACATTCTGACATAAATATTCTATACATTTATAGACAGTTCAACTGTTGTTTATTCTCCTTTGGCACTAACATAACGTTCTGAAAATAATATTAATAATACAAGTCATGTCGCGTTTTCACTGCCGGCGATATCGACGGCTCGTCTAAATGCACATTTCACCGGGACCGGACGCCCGGACCGACAAACTCAACGAACGAAACGACACGAGTAAAAAACAACGGAGTCGCACGAGCGACCCTCCGCGGGCCGCGATAAATATCTATCAATATATAATCTCGATCAACAAATATAATTCAATAGGCAATAGTAGGACAATACGAAGTTTAACTCTACCGACGTTATCACAATGGGGGGCGCGCGCGGCGCCGGGCGCACTCATAAGTCCACCGTCGCCAGGTTCTGCGTCGGCGCCCGCGCAGGGCCCGGCGGCGAGGGACCCGGCGCCGCAGGGCTCGGCGCCGCGGGGCCCGGGCTGGCC